GAAATAGTAGGTATCTAAGTAAGTTATTTAATATTAACAGGATTTTAAACATAAGAGGCTAAAAATTAAATAATTCCAAAAAAAAAACAGTGTAAAAAAAGTTGCGTGTATGATATGACCTCAGTCAGTACCTCTAGTAGGAAAAACTTTCGAGTTCGTTTCGNGCGAAGCCGCGGGCGGAAAGCTAGTAATATTATAAATGCGAAAGTTTGGATGTCATGATGTCTGGATGTCTGGATGTTTGTTACTCTTTCACGCAAAAACTACTGAACGGATTTTGTTGAAACTTTACAGTATTATTGTTTATAGCCCAGATTAACATATAGGCTATAATTTATGACGATCTGTGACAAACTAAATTTCACGCGGGTGAAACCGCGGGCAAAAGCTAGTGAATAATAAGATTTTTAAATTTACGTCAATTTCGCATTACTGAACATTCTACTGGGATATTGGAGCAATCGGAAAATTAACTTGTTACAAGCGTTTCAGAAATTCAATTTCGGCATGCTTAGCCTTCCGTTTGAATCAAAGATTCTGGAGTTAAGGCAGACAAAATAAATATACTATTGTGAAATCGACCTATAATAGAGTACTCGTACAGTGTTAATAATAAGTTAGTGTCTAAAATAGTATAAAGCATACATCAAGAGACTACTGAAACAAAAGAAAGCACTCCGCCAATGGTCACGACGATCGACTACAAAACTAGAAAGAGAAAGCACCTTTACTTTGGTCACATGAGTATGTGCTTTGGTGTCCCAAACAAGAAAGATTTTCAAAAACGTACAGTCACGGAATGAAAAGGTTCGTCAGTTTTCAAATTGATTCCTTCAACGAATCGCGAGTACAATATTACCTTTTGAAACTATGTTACAGAATAATCTCGAGTTAGAGAAAATAATCTTTAACTGTTCGTCAGTAAAGTTCAAAATTATTCAGATCAAAGTTGTTTGACGATTTTTTTTTTTTTTTTTTTTTTTTTTTTTTTTTTTTCTTGGCTTTCGCGGTTTGCGTTTAGCCACAACGGTGTGGGAGAAAAGGTTAGGAAACGTTTAGGTAAAAAACGAACCGGGGTGGAATACAGAAAAGGATGAGGATCAGGTTGGGAGGTGGAGAAATTAAATATGAAAAATATAAAGGATAAACATTAAAGTGCATTGAATACTTGAGAGATAAATTAAAGTTTAATATTATTTAAAATTAAATATTCAGAAATAGATTTATAAATATNGTTCGTTTCGTTGCGTATTCAAAGTGTCATCGAAAAATTTTGTATGAAAAATTAAACAGCGCCCCCTATATTATAGCCGCCCTAGGGGGCGCTGTTTAATTTTTCATACAAAATTTTTCGATGACACTTTGAATACGCAACGAAACGAACTCGAAAGTTTTTCCTACTAGAGGTACTGATCATAGAAAGGAAATATGAAAGTGAAACTCTTTTACATGCGTGTGGGCAGATAATTTAGCCATGTAAGAGAATTATGCATCGGAAACAAACCACGTATTCTTATTGGTATCCCAGTTCGGGGACGTGACGGGAATATGCGTGCAAACGAACAAGGGACAAACCTGTGCGCAAGACAAAACGTGACAATCATTTCTAATATACCCAGAATATGGAAATTGAAATAATTATTTTCTTGTTTGCTACAATCTTTTTTCATTTTGCTACGATACTTTCAAAGGAGGATAGCCACTGGAGCATTCGTTGGATTTCGATAAGCGTTGCAGTAGGCAGCATGCGGTTCGCGAAAGAATGGTGTTCGCGTAACACGCGCTTGCTTATTGTAGAATGCTCCCGAATGCTTGAAGCGACTGAGCATATTACAGCTGTCTAGCTGTGGGCTCTACTTGGCTCGTGATAACCTGCTACTACGTGATAAAATTCATATAAGTTTTCACTTAGAGATGAGAACGGACCCGCGTAAAGGAAGTTTTTCGATATCTAGTAACTTTCCAGACTAGTAAAAGTTTTATGAGTGCTGCTGAAACTCACATGAAAATCGATTCATTCTATATTTATCCTACTAATTTTAGAAGTAACTTTGTATAACTGGAAACTAAGTAAGTATTCTGTTTAGGTACTACCTAAGGAAAATGAAATTTAATATTTAAATACATTTCTCGAATCTCGGTTTTTAAAGTAAGACTAAAGAAAAGACATTATTTAGTTTTTTCTACGTCTTTTCTTTCCAACTTGTTACTTTGGAAACTCATTTTACTAACAAAATGATGGGCTAAAATTATCATTTCCTTTTAAGATAATTGTTTGTGTGATTCTTTTAGACGGCTTTTTTCGAGAACGTTCTCTTCTAATGAAAATACAGAGCATGAAATAGCAGTTTGTTTGAGAAAATATGTGTTTCCTCGAATGTACAGTCGACGATTGATCAGGAAATGTTTTTTGTAGCAGAGTAGTATCTATTACAATTACATTAAGGTCCACATTATTAAACCTTTTTCCGTTTGTACATTAAGCTCTTAGTGAGTAACATCAAATAACAAGTTTTTTCCCATTTCGTTACCGACCTCTTCGATAAATGTACGGAGAATTAATTGTTTTTTAGGGTTCCCCCCCTCTAAACTCTAAACTGTTGGCTTTAAAAATATGGAAACATTCGTAATGCTACTGCTTTTCATGAACTTTTGAGGAAAACTATAGCGATTAAGATTCATCAGTTAGTTTAAGAGTAATAGTCATTTAACTCATGTATTATAAAATTTCTTAACTACTGAAAATTCCTTGGAAGAAAATATTAAAAGTGACTTTAGATGAAGTAATTGCTTGCTTCTGAAATATATTGTGTTGACGACGGACAACTACGGAAACCTACACTGCGCGTGTCACGACACGCACTTGGCTAATTTTTTGTAGCTTATTATTGGCGCATCGTGAAAATGGTTGCCCAGTGGATGTTAGTTAGTAGGTCTCAATAAAGTCTTATTTCATCCTTGTTTTGTGTTTTCAGATAGGGAAAAAAGATTTTAAACTGTTTTCATTATTGTTGTCTCAAAAATTCCGCTTTGTCCTCACAATGTTATTATTACAAAAGTAATATTTTAAAGAGGTTCAAATATTTTTATGACATTGATTGATTACGAAAACATAATCGAACAGGTAGGTAAGTAAGTAACTTGTAGGTAGGGCTATCACCGTCGTCTAAATTGATAATCCTACTAATATTATAAACGCGAAAGTTTGGATGTCTAGATGTCTGGATGGATGTTTGTTACTCTTTCACGTAAAAACTACTGAACGGATTTTTATGAAACTTTACTTGATTATTATTCTTTATAACGCAGAATATATAGGCTATAATTTATGACGATCTGTGACAAACTAAAGTTCACGCGGGTGAAGCTGCGGGCAAAAGCTAATGATGTACATAATACTAGGTACAGTTGGTATTGGGGGCCCGTGTACGTTATTAAGATAGTGTATGTCGGCCACTGCGGTTATAGGTCGTTAAGATATTACACGTAGCCCGCGATGGCTCGTGAGATACGCTGAGACAGCCTCTCTCGTGCTGAGTTGACCTACATCACTAAATATAAGACACTCTTAGCTTATATTGTTTGAACTGTTAGAGTTAACAAGATTTCAACCAAGCACGAAAACCAAACCAAATAAGTACTTACTGTAAAATGAGTATTTAGTACATGTATTATTCAATTCTTTGCGCTTTATTAGAAACTTATTTAATAATGCCAATATGTCATTCTACGTCAATCGTTCAAAATTTAGGCGAGCAACATAACCATTCTGATCTAGCGTTGATTCTAATATTAGTCGTAATATTATATTCTGTAAAAAACTGGCCAAGTCTCTATGGAGCTGCTTGTTTGTCTCTAAAAAGTAGTGAAATCTAGACAAAATCGTGCCAAGTCAATGGTTCCTTACTGCCATTTCTTTATTATTATAGTTAATGTTGTGTGATTTGATGTGACTTCATTTTGACATCAAATGAAGCGGCCCACCAAGTTGAATATTCTCGCATTGTTTTAGGTGGTGATACTAACAAAAAAACTCAATGAAGAATGGAATAAATAAATTATCACCGGGCAATCTTCAAATTTCACTGTCCACCGTGTCTCGTTAAACACTCGACATTGGCGAAACCAGTGTGCTTCAAATACGCACTATTGAAGCCATTAAACACAAATGCAGTCGGAGGCATGTCTAATTATTTTGTTGGTGATAATAATATGTATTTGATGCCTCCGACTGCATTTGTGAACACTAAGGCTAAAAACGCTAAAACGATCATTGCAAACGTTGTGATAGGGATAGAGACATGCAATTTTTGGTTTTACGAAGGTAATACGAATAATACAAAGTAATAAAAACTACCGGTTATAGGGGCATTTTTTGGAGAAATTTATCAAATAACCAAAAAAACACGAATTAAAATGCAGATTTTTCTCAAAAAGTATCATTTTTTATTATTTGTTGGCCTTTTTTGTGTATTTATGTATTTTTTTAGTATCACCTGTTATTTAGCATTATTACTGTTATTTTATCAGGATATACCTCTTAGTTTAAAAGTTATTACGTTTTCTTTACAATAAGTAATTGGAAGAAAAAAAATTATATAAAAAATTTAAAAAGAATCTCAAAAATTTTTGACCTCTTTTTTGTCGACAAAAATAGGTCTTGTTCATCTATTTTCATATGTACACTTTAACGTGACTCACACTGTATAATAATTTATTTATTCCGGACCAGAATAATCCCCCTGTCAATAAGTCCATTGTTCCTGCTTCTTTTTAAATATGTAAATTTCAAGTGTTTGAGTATTTTTTTTAACGATGTCAGACTCAACTTTGGCAATGATTCATCCGCATTTATAGCAGAAAGAACCTTTTTGGTTGTTGGTAATTCCCCTTTAAAGTAAAAGCTGTGAACGATTTTTCTAATGCAAGACTTATGGTTAAAGAAATTTATTTTTAAAAAAGACAAATAGTCACTTATAGCCTGACCAGGAACATNAAGTTAAAAGAAATTAATTAAAGTAAAACATATAATTAATTTCCAATTGTGTTTATTAAGTGTTAAGTTTAGTTAATAAATTGTACATAGTTATTACTTAGAATTTAATCGCGTTCCTGTTTATAGAAGTGATACAAACATCGATCACATCCATTGACACCAACGCGAATAAATAAACAAACCATGGACCGCATCGTTCAGATACCGCGTGAAATGAGTTCTGTCATCCCCGTCTTCAACGGCGATGAAAAATTACTCAACTTGTTTATTCAAAAGTGCGAATATGTAATCAGAACATGTAGAGTAGATGGAAACCCGGACCAAGACCTATACGTATACCACGTAATTACATCAAGACTAACCGGAAAAGCAGCAACGCTCATTAGCGAGCGCCAAGATATTTCAACATGGACAGAGTTAAAGCTAGCACTTGAACAGCACTTCGGTGACCCGCGATCCGAAGAATGCATAGCAATAGAACTAGAAACGTTGAAAATTACCAATAGCGAATCATACCTAGATTTCTGTAACAGAATCCAACACGTAAAAAGTACTTTAATTGCAAAAGTTAACTTAATAGCAGATGAAAATTTGAAACGAAGTAAAGCAATAATTTACGACAACTTAGCTATGAATGTCTTTTTATACAATTTGCCCGAGGACCTTCTTAGGATAGTCCGTCTAAAAGGTTGCAGCTCATTAAAGAGTGCCCTCAGTATTGTGCTGGAGGAAGTTAATTTCCTTCACCAATACAACTCACGAAACAAAATGCTTAAATCAAATTTATTTCAACCAAGACCACAACCAATGGTCAACAACCCGTTTACGCCCAATCCAAACACTATGGGATTAAAACAGTTCTTTAATCCGCAACCACAATTTAAATTTGGCCTACAACCAAATAACAATACGCAACAACAATTTAAATTTGGAATTACCCCTAGCAAACAGCATAAAATACCACAACAGCAAAATCAACCGCAGTTCGGTTATAAACCCCAACCAAACCCACAGTTCGGATACCGACCACAAGTGAACCAACAATTCGGATACCGACCCCAACTAAACAACCAACAATTCGGATACCGACCCCAACTAAATAACCAACAATTCGGATACCGACCGCAACTAAACCAACAGCAATTCGGTTACCGACCCCAACTAAACCAACCTCAGCAATTTGGCTATAGACCACAGCTTAATAACCAGCAATTCGGATATAAACCCCCTACACATCAGCCCACTGACGTAACCATGCGTACATTACCCCAGAGACCTCAAGGCTTCAAGCTTAACGAGCTTTATTACCTAGATGAACCCGAAATTTCCGAATACCAGGAATACCCTGAGTATTTCCCTCAAGACCAATATGATTTTGAGCAACCAAATTATTCCGAATACCCAGAAACTTGCGATGATCAAGAATACGAGCATCCCGCCATAGAACAAAATGAACCAATAAACGAATGTGAAAATTTTCCAATACCAGCCTCGTTACAGGACAAAACGTAATACATTTAAATTCAGAAATAAAGCACATTTTAACTTTGCCTTACATTAAAATACCAGAAATCGACGCACGCCTGATGATTGACACTGGTAGTGCACGATCATTTATTAGCCCGCGTAAAGCAGACGAATTTTTCGCCTGTCATAAACAATATGAACCCTTTCAAGTGATCAGCACACATGCTTCAAGTAAACACGACCAAGTCATAGTAGTTCCCCTTTTTCCGACTTTTAACAGTCCAATCTTGCACAAATTTTACGTATACGACGTTGATGGTCGATACGACGGTCTCATTGGCACAGACCTTCTTCTGCAATTAAATGCAAAAATCGATATGAAAGATCAAATATTATACACTGATACCGCAAACATACCTATAGTATGCAATCCAAATAACCTAATTAAATTGGCCCCGCGTTGTGAGCAACGTGTACAACTTCCGACCAACGTAGTCGAAGGCGAAGCAATTATGGAATATCGTCAATTCTGTGATGGTGTCCGTATGCCAGCCGCCTTAGTAACTTGCAAAGATGGTTATGCAACGACCATCATTCAAAACACATTAGAAAAGGAAATTACGTTATCCATTAACAGCCCATTCATTGTAAAACAATTAGACCAATTAATTCCCATAAATAAATTAGAGCTAAATTACACCAATATAGAAATCGACCAAATCCTTACAGAAAATATTTCCAAATTACGATTAGACCACATGAATCAGGAAGAACGTGATCGCATCTCGAAGCTTTGCTTGGAATATCGCGACATATTCTATTCTGACAAATTGCCGCTTACATTTACCAACGAAGTAAAACACCATATTAGGACCCGCAATGAGGACCCCATTTATATTAGACCCTATAGACAACCGCAGGTAGTTAAAGACGAAATAGATAAACAAGTAAACAAAATGTTAGAAAACAATATAATTAAACCCTCATTCTCACCTTGGAGTGCCCCAGTACATCTAGTACCAAAAAAACTCGACGCTAGTGGCGAACAGAAATTCAGGCTAGTAATTGACTATAGAAAATTAAACGAAATTACCATTGATGACAAATATCCCTTGCCAAATATCACCGACTTGTTCGATAACTTAGGACGCAGCTGTTATTTCTCAACCCTTGACCTGGCTAGTGGTTACCACCAGATAGAGGTAGCAGAAGAGGATAGACAGAAAACCGCGTTCACAACAAGTACAGGACATTACGAATTCACTCGTATGCCGTTCGGACTTAAGACAGCCCCAGCGACATTCCAGCGAACGATCGATAATGTGTTGCGTGGATTGCAAGGCATACATTGCTTAGTTTATTTGGACGACATCATTATTTACTCATCCAGCCTAGATGAACACATAAATAAATTACGTACAGTTTTCGACAGACTCAGGCAAACTAACTTAAAAATACAGCTAGATAAATCAGAATTCCTAAGAAAAGAAGTGCTTTACTTAGGACACACAATTACAAACACTGGACTAAAACCTAATAATGACAAAATTAAAGCCGTACTAAATTATCCATTACCCCGTACTACAACCGAAATAAAAAGCTTTCTTGGACTTATTGGTTATTACCGCCGATTTATCAAAGACTTCGCAAAAGTCACCCAACCAATGACAGCACGCTTGAAAAAGAAAAGTTCAATGCCAACTAATGATCCAAATTACATTAATGCATTCGAGAAATGTAAACAATTGCTCGTCAATGCACCCATCCTTCAATATCCAGATCCCGATAAACCTTATGTACTGACTACAGACGCTTCAGAGTTTGCGCTAGGAGCCGTTCTATCACAAGGCCCTATAGGCAGTGACAAACCTGTCGCTTATGCAAGCCGTACTCTCAATGACCGGTAGACCTTCAGGGAGTGGACCTCACGGACTTGAAGCTTCTAACGGTAGCCCTCAAGAAAAGTGATAACAGTGAAAATGAAAGTGAAAAGGCCTTTATTGAAGTGCATAGTGTTAGTGTCTGGACTCTAGTAATTTACCTTATAATCATTGGAATTGTAATTTACTTAATAATTAAATATCGTGTAAAGATTACTAAAACGTGTAATCGAAGTTCTCCAGCTCTTCAAGCCGAGAACTTCGAACTTAAGGAGGGAGTAGTTACATCTGCCAACTCTTCAATGCTGCATGATCAGCAACCTATATTCTAGGAATTGTTTTGAAGAGTTAACAGAATCATTTGTAGACTAAACATCCCGCTGGCCTGCGAGCCGCGAAAGTTCCCTCAGAACATTTAGTCTTAAGCCGCATCTCTAGACGAATAAACGTCTCTTTAATTAAAAATTGTATTTTTTAAAAGACACTCCGGGCAGGCCACAACTTGACTAACTAGTTATGGCCACTGCGCCTATTGTAAACAAAAATCGCACAATAAAATATATTTTTGCCCTTCGTTTAAAAACCTTTCAATTGACGATCGCTATAATTTTATTAAAACTAATCATGTGTAACGTTATTTTTATCTAGATATAAATAATCGCCAACTAAGTTAAAATTAAATAAATATTTTAAATTAAATAACTACTCATTAAATAAAACAACTTCTTATAAATAAAACATTGATAAAATAATCCCAACTAATCTCCCACCTAATCCCACCTAATATTATAAATGCGAA